TGTTCTGCCTATGTTTTTCTCTAGGAGTTTTGTATTATCTAGTCTTACATTTAGGTCTTTAATCCATTTTGAGTTTATTTTTCTATATGGTGTTAGAGAATGTTCTAATTTCATTCTTTTACATGTAGCTGTCCAGTTTTCCCAGCACCACTTACTGAAGAGACTGTCTTTTCTCCATTGTATATTCTTGCCTCCTTTGTTCTAGATTAATTGACCATAAGTGCGTGGGTTTATTTCTGGACTATTGATCCTGTTCCATTGATCTATGTGTTTGTTTTTGTGCCGGTACCATGCTTTTTTGATTACTGTAGCTTTGTAGTATAGTTTGAAGTCAGGGAGCATGATTCCCCCAGCTCCGTTCTTCTTTCTCAAGATTGTTTTGGCTATTCGTGATCTTTTGTGTTTCCATACAAATTTTAACTTTTTTGTTTCAGCTCTGTGAAAAATGTCATTGGTAATTTGATGGGAATTGCATTGAATCTGTGTATTGCCTTGGGTAGTATGGCCATTTTAATAGTATTTATTCTTCCAATCCAAGAACATGGTATATCTTTCTATCTGTTTGTGTTGTCTTCAGTTTATTTCATCAGTGTCTTATAGTTTTTGGAGTACAGGTGTTTTGCCAACTTAGGTAGGTTTATTCCTAGGTATTTTATTCTTTTTAATACAATGGTAAATGGTATTGTTTCCTTAATTTCTTTTTCTGCTATTTTGTTGTTAATGTATAGAGATGCAACTAATTTCTGTTTATTAATTTTGTATCCTACAGCTTTTCTGAATTCAATGATGAGCTTTAGTAGTTTTCTGGTAGCTTCTTTACGATTTTCTTTGTATAGTATAGTATCATGCCATCTGCAAACAGTGACAGTTTTACTTCTTTTTTTCCAATTTGGATTCCTTCTATTTCTTTTTCTTCTCTGATCGCTGTAGTTAGGACCTCCAAAACTAGGTTGAATAAAAGTGGTGAGAGTGGTTTGGCCTAAGGCATCCCAGCACTTAAGCCTACAGGCTGTCAGGTGGGGCCAGGTGGTGCTAATGACCCAAGCAAGACGTCAGCCTCCAGGAAAGTTCATGTGGATGAATACTCCTGGAATGTCTGCCACCAGCTTTTATGTCCCCCAGGTGAGCCATAGCTGCCTTCCACCTCCCTAGGAGACCTTCCAAAACAAGCAGGCAGGTCTGGCCCAGGTTCCTATGAAATCACTGCCTCTTCTTTTGATCCTAGCGCATGCGAGATTATGTGTGTGCTTCCCAAGAGAGTGAAATGTCTGCCTTCTCCAGTCCTGTGGAGCTCCTGCAGTTAAGCGCCTCTTGTTTTCACAGCCAAATGCTCTGGGGGCTCCTTCTCCAAATGCCGGAACCCTGGGCTGGGGAGCCTGACATGAGGCTCAGGTCTCCCACTCTTGTGGGAGAGCCTCTGCGGTATAATTTTTCTCCAGCTTGTGAGTCGCCTCCTCAGCAGGTATAGGACCCAATTACATTACGAGTGCACCACCCCTGCCATCCCACTGTGGTTTCTCTTTAGGTTTCTAGCTGAAGAAGATCTTTTTTTGGTAAGTCTGAGTCTTTTTTAGTTGTTGGTTGTTTACTAGTCAGTTGTGGTTTTGTTGTGATTGTGAAAGCAGGCAAGCTTGTGGTCCTACTACTCTGCCATCCTGACCAGATCCATATAGCATCTAATCTTATTGTTGGGGACAGGCACTCTTCCATATCCTTTGTGTGCTGGGCACTGTTTCCTCTAATTCTCTTAAATGACCTTTGTTGACTATCAGGGAGTGGTACTATCAAGTGATGGAGAGGCACAAAATGAGGCCAGTTTATTCTCTGCAAATGATCCTCTTCTCTTTTCAATATTGCCCATATCTGGCTTTAACTGAGAGACTTTTGTGGGGTGAAGATAGAGTTCTATCACTAGTCACAAGCCCTGTAAATGGTTTTCAGTGAAGTACTGAAGAGAAGACAATCATTCCTGGATAATAATCCCATAAGGTTGTTCCTCAAGATATATGTGTGTGTGTATGTGTGTGTGTGTGGTGGGGGGCAATTGCAAGCAATTCATTGACAAATAGATATAAATTATCAGCAGCTAGCATTTGGGAGCTGTGGCTTTGCTGGATTCACTCAAGAAACTAGAATGCTTTGGATAGGAAAAGCTGTGGATAAAGTATGAAAATGTCCCTTAGTCTTCCTTCATCACAACTCAGTGGTGACGATTTTAGTGCTTACCAGGCTCCATCTACTAATGTAGATATTTGCTGCTTGTTAGAGCTCTGTGCATTATATTTTTAAGTGTTACTGGCCCACCTCAAATTGGTGAACAAGTTAAAGATTAAATAAAGCAAGCATTGCAAAATAATGAAAGAGAATATATCTTTATTTGCATGTTAGCAAATGAGAGTTCAATTTTTCTTTTACCATCAAGTATGAGAAATTTCACTTTATTTTGAAAACACACAGTGAACATAGAGTGCAGCTAGCTGTCTGGGAGAAAACGATTCTTATAAAGAGAGCTTTGTGCTCATGCATTAATACACCTTAGTGTTTCTGCTTTGATCTTAAGCCTACAATTTTTTTTAAAGGAGGAAACTAACTGCATATCTAATAAATAAGTATATATATATGTACCATTAAAACATAGTAAATCAAGAAATTGTCAATATTGCAATTAGAGATTGAAATTCTCTCTTTGAGGACATGGTAAATGTCTTGAATATCATCTTCATCATTTTAATACACTCAGAATTAGTAACTGGTATTTTGGGGAATGGATTCATAACACTGGTGAACTGCATTGACTGGCTCAAGACTTGAAAGATCTCCTCAGCTGATCGAATCCTCACCACGTTGGCAATCTTTAGAATTTGTCTGATTTTGGTAATAGTGGTGAGTTGGTTTACAAGGGAATTTTCTCCATCTTTATATATGAATAGAAAGAATGTTATACTTATTACTATTTCTTTTATTCTCTCAAGATAGCCAATTTTACAAATGCTGTTTTTCTTCACCTAAAGCATAGAGTTGAAATGGTAGTTCTAGTAATGTTTCTGGGGGCATTAGTATTGTTGCCTTTATGTCTTATTATGATAAGTATTCTTATTAATATCCAGATACATCCATATGAAAGAAATGTAACTTTGAGTTCTAAAAGGAGTGACGCTGAAAACTTTGTGAAACTGATTATATTCAGTATGGGAGACTTCATACCCTTTATTATATCCCTGATTTTTTCCTCCTGCTAATCTTCTCCTTATTGAAACATCTCGAGAAGATGAAGCACCATGCAATGGGATTCAGGGATCCCAGCATCAAAGCCCACGTCAGTGCCATGAAAATGGTGATATCTTTCCTCCTGCTATTTGCTGTTTACTTCCTGTCTATTCTTATGACAGCCTTCCATTCTGATGTGACTCAGAACAAATCGACCCTTATGCTTGGTCAGGTTCTTGCAAATGCTTATCCTTCAGTCCACTCATTTGTCCTAATTCTGGGAAACAGTGAGCTATGAAGGGCTTCACTTTCGGTGTTGCGGCAGCTGAAATGTGGTTTAAAAGCTTGGAAACCTTCAGACTCATAAACCATTCTGGAGAGCATCATATGTAATCTACAGGAAAAAGGTTAAAGAATTTTATTTCACCTTTCTTCACCGTTCTTCTGTGATGCGTGATAGTGAATATATTTTAATGTTTATCTGTAATAGGCTTTTTTCTATGCTTATGAAATGTTAATTACATGTGTATATGTATATATATATTTAGCACATTCATACAAATGAAAAATTAACTGGATTATCTAATTATAAGAATGTCAGCAACAAATGACATAGGTGGTATTTCACTTTTTACTTCTCTGGAAAATTTTCATTAAAATGTCAAAAATATACATGGTAGACATATACTTACTAAAATGTGAAAGTTTATATTTTTTTAACATTTTATTTTATTTTTTAACATTTTTTATTGATTTATAATCATTTTACAATGTTGTGTCAAATTCCAGTGTTCAGCACAATTTTTCAGTCATTCATGGACATGTACACACTCATTGTCACATTTTTTTCTCTGTGAGATATCATAACATTTTGTGTATATTTCCTTGTGCTATACAGTGTAATCTTGTTTATCTATTCTACAATTTTGAAATCCCAGTCTATCCCTTCCCACCCTCCGCCCCCTGGTAACCACAAGTCTGTATTCTCTGTCTGTGAGTCTATTTCTGTCCTGTATTTGCGCTTTGTTTTTGTTTGTTTGTTTTTGTTTTTGTTTTTGTTTTTTAGATTCCACATATAAGCGATCTCATATGGTATTTTTCTTTCTCTTTCTGGCTTACCTCACTTAGAATGACATTCTCCAGGAGCATCCATGTTGCTGCAAATGGCATTATGTTGTCGGTTTTTATGGCTGAGTAGTATTCCATTGTATAAATATACCACATCTTCTTTATCCAGTCACCTGTTGATGGACATTTAGGTTGTTTCCATGTTTTGGCTATTGTAAATAGTGCTGCTATGAACATTGGGGTGCAGGTGTCATCCTGAAGTAGATTTCCTTCTGGGTACAAGCCCAGGAACGGGATTCCTGGGTCATATGGTAAGTCTATTCCTAGTCTTTTGAGGAATCTCCACACTGTTTTCCATAGTGGCTGCACCAAACTGCATTCCCACCAGCAGTGTAGGAGGGTTCCCCTTTCTCCACAGCCTCTCCAGCATTTGTCATTTGTGGATTTTTGCATGACGGCCATTCT